AGAAAGGGCATGTGATGCATCGGGCAAGGCATTATATTACTACGCGCCGGAATGTCAATCCCATTCGTGGCGATGTCAATCCACTGCTCCACCTGCGCCTGATCGACGTAAAATGGAAAGGGAAGCACAGAGGGCAGCATTGAGAGCAGAAAGAGGGCACGGGGCAAGGCTAGAATAGGCAGCTGAAGCGGACAAGCGGTAGAAATAAGAAGATTGTATGTTACTACTTTAATTAAACCGTACTGGACATGCTATTTATATAACAAATCGAACATACGGATAACAACACGAGAAGCGAGGCTGGACGAGCGTCAGAGTACGGACACATACTTCTCGGATCAAACTGCCCATAGCTCATGTTTCATCACACGAAAACAGTCTTTGACGATTGCCGATAGGCACATACCACTAGACATGTCCGCGGCAGCCGTGGTTGACGCACTGTCACAGGAGTAGTGCACACAATGCCGCATCCCCGTAACATGCTGTTTGTTCAACCACGGCGGTCGCGAACAAGTCTGGTACCATGTGCATGTTGACCATGTGCATGAGCAACGGGCAGCCTTGTCCGAGAATGACGTGTCAGTACTCTAACGCCCTTCCAGTCTCGCTCCCCGTGTTGTAATAATCACATGTTCGACTCATTTCATCCCAGCTTTCGTTACTTCCCAGCTGGCTTGGTCTTGGGGGGAGGAAGCGAAGGAAGCGATAGAATGGCTACTCCAGACTAAAATCTTGCCCTGCATTGCCTACCGTTTGCCATGCCTTTCCTACCGTTTGACATGCCTTGACTACCGTTTGCTATGCCTTGCCTACCGATTGCCATGCTTTGCCTACCGTTTGCCATGCCTTGCCTAGCTTTTGCCATGCCTTGCCTACCGTTTTCCATGCCTTGCCTACCGTTTGCCATGCCTTGCCTGCCATTCTCCATGCCTTGCCTACCGTTTGCCATGCCTTGCCTAGCTTTTGCCATGCCTTGCCTAGCCTTTGCCATGCCTTGCATACCGTTTTCCATGCCTTGCCTACCGTTTGCCATGCCTTGCCTAGCTTTTGCCATGCCTTGCCTGCCTTCTGCCATGCCTTGCCTACCGTTTTCCATGCCTTGCCTACCGTTTGCCATGCCTTGCCTACCTTTTGCCATGCCATGCCTGCCTTTTGCCATGCCTTGCCTACCGTTTGCCACGCCTTGCCTACCGTTTGCCACGCCTTGCCTACCGTTTGCCATGCCTTGTTTGCCATGCCTTGTTTGCCATGCCTTGCCTACCATTTGCCATGCCTTGCCTACATCTTGCCAAAACCTTTCCTACCTTTTGCCTTGACGAAGAGGCCTACCATTCGAGCTTATATGTTGCTGCTCACCTGCTCGTACGCATTCGACCCAAACAGACCCTTGTCTGCTAGCCTGGCGACTGTAGAGTGAAAGTGGGAGGGTTTATGGATGTGGGGAGAAGGGAGGAGGGAGCTGAGGCTAGTGACACGAGAGGTTGACATTTGATGGAAGAGCGGATAAGGACGGGAAAAACGACAGCAGCAGCAGCAATAGGACAACGATGGCAGCAGCAACAGCATCATCGCAGTGGGAGAGTTTATGGATGTGGGGAAGTGGGAGGGGGAGGCTGAGGCTGGTGAAGCAAGAGCTTGGCGATTGAAAGGAGAGTAGAGAAGTGAAGGACGAAGATGGCGACCGGGAAGAACAGCAGCAGCAGCAGCAACAGCAGCAGCAGCAGCAACAGCAGCAGCAGCAGCAACAGCAGCAACAGCAGCAGCAGCAACAGCAGCAACAGCAGCAGCAGCAGCAACAGCAGCAGCAGGAGCAACAGCAACAGCAGCCGCAGCAACAGAAACGGCAACAACAACAGCTACAGCATTGTCGCAGGAGGAGGGATTACGGATGTGGGGAGAAGGAGGAAGAAGCAGAGGCTAGTGAAGCGAGTATTTGGTTATTGATAGAAGAGCCGGGGGCGAAGATAGGGGCCGGCAAGAACAACAAGAGCAGCAGCACCACGACAACGATAGCAGCATCATCACAGCAGCAGAAATAACAACAGACGTACCACCAAGAGCAACAGCAACAGCAGCCTACCGTATCTGGCAATCGCGTTACTCTCGAAGATTGGCCCATCAGGAGTGACAATCAGTGGGATCTGCGACACAACAAACCATAGCACCGCACCACGCCACACCACACCACACCACAGCATAATATATAGTGGACAGCGTTAGAGAGCACGGAAACAGACGACATCACAAAGCGGAGAAATGCGAGCTTTTCATTTCCTTTCAGTTTGAACCATCAGATTCCTTACAACTGGACCCTCTCTTTCAAATTGTGTCATTCTCTCCACCAAAGTGCACATGATAGACTCCTCCGCCTTGTTAAACACTGCCCACTCGAAACTCTTCCAAATTGTTGGAACTTAAGAAACTCCGCCTTAAGAAACTTTATCGACTGCTCGACCAAATTGTTGGTTACTCTCAACCCAACCGCGCCTTCAACCGCTCTTCAAGTGTCTATTGCACCTTGCCAATGGCCGTGAGCTTCAGAAACTCCTCCGAATTGTTGGTGACGCCCCACTGGAAGAAAGGGGTCTCTTCTAGCCCTGCTCGCCCCGATCCACAATTACCTTGCCCTTGCCAATGGGCATTAGCTTGAGGAACTCCTCCGACTTGGTGGTGACGCCCCACTGGAAGGGCGGAATCTCGATCTTCACGCCCACGAATTGCTTCACATTGCTTCAAACCCTAAACCCTTGAAACGTGCTTTCCCTACCTTGCCAATGGGCGTTAGCTTGAGGAACTCCTCCGATTTGGTGGTGACGCCCCACTGGAAGGGCGGAATCTCGATCTTCACGCCCACGAATTGCTTCACATTGCTTCAAACCCTAAACCCTTGAAACGTGCTTTCCCTACCTTGCCAATGGGCGTTAGCTTGAGGAACTCCTCCGATTTGGTGGTGACGCCCCACTGGAAGGGCGGCACCTCGATCTTCACCCCCACGAATTGCGCCGCGATCAGCGCCTTATATGCGTTCTTGTTGTGCGGCGAGGTGTAGAGCTTCTGCACATGGGGAAAGGGGGAGGCCAGGGGGAGGAGTGGGAGGGGAGGGAAGGGCAGGGAGCGAAGAGGGGGAGAACATAGAATCGACTGGTGGTAACCACAGCGCAACTGGTGGTAACCACAATGCATGTCCACCTTCACGCCCACAAATTCGGCCGCAGTAGTGACCGTTATTGGGTTTTTTAGAATGAATATAGCATGTGACGTATGCTACAAGGAAGATCATAACTGTGACTTGAGACTACAAGGCTCAGGGCTTTTCGCAAACGTGGTTCTTAGGGGTCAGCGCATAGGGGCTGACGATGAGGAAACATCGCCGAGGCTTCAGTAGTTTCTGCAAAACCCTTCAAATTTCAATTCATTCTTAGAATAGGCCAGATCCGCTCCTTGCCCGCTTCAAACCCTCACAAGAAGCGATACGACTTTCTAGGCACCTCAAAGATCGTTCAGACCCTCACCCCTGAGACATCAAGGCATCTCGATCTCGTACCCAGCCTCCACGATAATCGGTGCTAGTCGGTGCTAATTGGTGCTGATTGGTGCTTGTCAGACAGACTCCAGATTCTTCATTGAAATACTCAAATCGGCTACTCTCCCGCTGCAAACCCTCACCCCTGAGACATCAAGGCATCTCGACCTCTAATCGGTGCTAATTGATACAGATCGGTGTCGGTCGGTGCTGATCGGACATAATTCCATGCGGATAAACGGGCTTAATAATCCAATAAGGCCAATCGCAAAACGTTCTGAATCCTGTGCTTTGATACGTTTCAGAATATATCCACTACAGTCGAGATTCAAGATAAACGGTAATCCGACAGAGTCGGCGCTCCCCAATCCAACATCTGAGAGACCGCGGAAAACTTTCTAGAAACCGAGAGGGGTAAAACAGATTGGAACCCGATCTAGAAACCTCTATGCGCGATTTCGATCTTGAAACCCCATGCGCGCGGGTGCACTGAATCAAGTCACGTGGGTAAGGAACTGGGTTGAAAGTGGTAGAAGCGTACGAGAGTCATGGCGACGATCAGCTGGGGGAGCACGCGAGCAGACGCAGGCTTGGCGGTACAGCCAAGCGGTCGGAGGGCGAGAAAGCTGCTGCGAGGTGCAACGCCGACGAGCATATGCGACTTTGTGTTAGCACCAACAGTCGGGTCTTATACAATCATACTTGGGGGTGGAACGGCTTGCTCGCTGCGAGAGGTCCGATTCGTGCTGGTCTGATGAGGGGAGGGAACCGCAGAGGAATGTTAGAATTCGAGATCGACGAGGGAGCATGAAAAGCATATTCGAGGTTCAATGGAATCGAATTGGGAGGCTATGCGTGAAATCGAGATTCCAGCGTGTTTTAAAACGTTCAAGTACGGTTAAGATGGTAAGAGATGGTTTTTATAGGGTGCATGAAGGTTGAGATAGTGACGAGATGGGGTGGTTTCAGAAGATCATTTAAGCATTACCTAACCGTTATATAAAAACCATAGACCGTTTTGATATATGACCCTACCCAACCGTATTGCGCGAGCTCTCAGCCCTGGGACCTCCGTGAATCTCTTGTGAAGAATGGACAATTGCACGGCACCACACGCTGACCGCTGGAAACTCCGAAAAGGCACGCTTCGAGGGCGGGAAGGACATTTCTCTAAAGAGTCATCCGCCAATGCAATGGCACACTTTTGTTATTGCTCAAGTTCAAGAGAAAACAAATGATTATCATAGATGGCCTTGTGTATGTCATTCCCATCAGATTATTTTAAGGAATAAAACCTATCGCAAAACAGAGAGTGAAGATGCAGTATTCACAAGAACAACTGTAACTACCACGAAGACCATATAGGCTATAGCTCCAAAACAGCACCCCACCATCATGGGCGAGAGCTAATATAATCACTTGGACATCCATTACTCAACACCCATCACCACCACCCAGAAGCCCGTTGAAACACCTACGACCACCAAGAGAGTAAGCCGAGCCCATCACCGTTAATATCACCCTGCATACATGCAACGCACAGCAAAATCTGCATTAAGGCACTGTATTAACCACATTGAGAAAAACCTCGAGATAAAGGATATCACACACGGGTCACACTGTGGTGAGGAGGAAGGAGTCGAGTTTATGAGGCGCCTTGAAAAGCATACGGGCTATGGATCCATGAGTCATGAGTCGTGAATCACGCGTCAAAAGTGATGAGGCATAAGGCATGGGTGGTGTAAAAATGAGGTTTGTGAAGTGGTTATGCAGATGCTTTCAAACTAATGTGTACAAACAACTTCCACGGTTCCTATAACGGGAGCTGTTTTCTTTAAGTGGTTCTTACAACGATCTCCATGGTTGCAAAGGCAGTGGCGCCCTTATCCTGCTCCACGGGCAGTGGGGGATACTTCACACTCACCACCTTGAACCGGATCTAGTTTGAGGGAGGGGGAAGAGTGGGCAGGTATGGAAGTGGGGGAGAGGAAAGGGGTGACCAGGCATTGCAGTGGCGCCTTTATCCTGCTCTACGGGCAGTGGGGGATAATTCACACTCACCACCTTGAACCGGATCCGCGGGGGAGGAACGGGAGAGAGAAGAGTGGGCAGGTATGGAAGTGGGGGGAGAAGGCATTGCAGGGGCTCCCTTATCCTGCTCCACGGGCAGTGCGGGATACCTTTGCATTCAGCACCGTGAACCGAACCGAATCTGATGGAACAGAGGGGCAGAGAAGATATGGAAGTGGGGTAGAGCAAAGGGTTGCCAAGATAATGCAGTGATTTTTAGGCGCCTAAAACATCGTCTCAGTTTTGAGTCGCATAAAACAGCGTTGCGGAGATAGTGCAGTGTCCCCTCTTTCTCCTGCTATATCTAAGGCGCCTTAGAGAAAGGCTGGCGCTGATGCATTGTGATGGCTCCCTCCCTCCCTTCTCCTGCTGCGCAGGTAGAGGACGACTCTTCAGTCTCACCAGCACCAGAACCGGATCTGCAAGTCAACGCCAGTCAACAACGCCAGTCATACCAGTTCATCCATGTCCAGGAACATGTCGTTGAACTTCCTTCCATTGCCGTGTGACCCGCATGGATGGAGGCGTATCACAGCCAGTCAACGCAAGTCAACGCCAGTCAACGCAAGTCATACCAGTTCATCCATGTCAAGAAACATGTCGTTGTCGTTGAACTTCCTTCCATTGCCGTGTGACCCACCAGTCAATGGCAGTCATACCAGTCCATCCATGTCAAGGAACATGTCTTTGTCGTTGAACTTCCATTGCTGTGTGGCCACATGGCACTGTAGCACAACCAGTCAATGCTAGTCAAAGCCAGTCAACGGCAGTCATACCAGTTCATCCATGTCAAGGAACATGTCTTTGTCGTTGAACTTCCATTGCTGTGTGACCCACATGGAGGCATATCACAGCCAGTCAACGCCAGTCAACGCCAGTCAACGCAAGTCAACGCCAGTCAACGCGAGTCATACCAGTTCGTCCATGTCAAGAAACGAGTCATTGTCGTTGAACTCCCATCCACTGCTATGTGACCCACATGGAGGCATATCACAGCCAGTCAACGCCAGACATACCAGTTCATCCATGTCCAGGAACATGTCGTTGTCATTGAACTTCCACACCCACAGCTTCTCCTGCTCGTCACTGCCATGGGCACGAATGAGGGCACATGCGTGCAGAGATAGGCAGGCAGATTGACAGGCGGCTATAAACTCGACTCAAGCTTCTCCTGCTCATCACTGCATAGGCATACGGGCAGGATGCTCATCATTGTCATTATCGTTGTCGTTGGGAGCAAGGGCATGTGCGTGCAGACACAGGAAGGTTGGCAGGCACACAGATATGCAGGGGCACGTGATAAGGAAACAGGCAAACAGACAGACACAAATAATGAGAAGCTGCGTGAGAGTAATAATCATTCATTAGGTACAGATAAATGACTACACCTTCATCCCAACCAGACACGTGTAACAGCGCTACCCAGGCACACACGCCCATGCATATTCCCATGCGTGTACTCAATATTATTCACAGGAGGATGACTCACACCATCATTCCAACTGGACGGACATGTGTGACAGAGACACATAACACATAAGCACACATGCTGGCAATGCACACATGCACACATGCTGGCAATGCACACATGCACACATGCAGGCTAATCGACTCAAAAACTGGCAATGCACACATGCACAAACGCAGGCATGCAGGCAATGCACACATGCTTACATGCAGGCATGCAGGCAACGCACACATACACACATGCACAATGCATAGCATACAATGTAGTGACCCATAAGCATTTTTAGCCGCTAATACTCACAAAACTGAAGGCTCTTGTAGGTTGTAGTGAGGAATGTGTATATCGGAGAAAAAATCCAGCGATACTGCAGATAAGGAATTACAAAAACGTGGGAGGGTGGAAAGCGAAAATGTAGAGCAGAGACATCGAGTAGAGGAACCACTTGTGACAAGGTTATACACGAGCTGACTTTGAGTCGACTCAAAAGTCACCAACCGTAAGGAATTACCGAAATGTGGGAGGGTGGAAAGGCAAACGGTACAAACAAAGATAACAAAGACAGGAACCACACATGCGAACCAACTGAGCAGATTGGAAAGCACGTGAGCATATTAAACACGCCTATCTCATCGCATCGCATTTCACAAACCTGCCTCAATTTCCTTCTGCGCATCAAACAAGGAAGGAAGCACACGATGATAACCTACCAGAAAGACATGCCGCATACTTCACAAGCCTTCCACAAAGCACTTCCCAGCATATTTTGAGACGCGTACGAAACCCCGTGTGAACTGAGACGATAATCGAGAGCCTAAGAATACACAGCATACCAAAAAGTCAGTGGCACTGTGGCATTGCATTTTACCAGCCTGCCCGCAAGCAATTCCCTGCCTGCCCGCAAGCACTTCTCTGCGTAGAAAAAACTCCACCCCGCATCTTTTCTTGAGTCAATAAAGAAGTCATCAAGTGGGCAGGGTGTGTGAGCGGTGTATGTTTTTTTGAGAATTCTCAAAAAGCATACACCAAACAGCCCTGTCCCGTGGCATCGCATTTCACCAGCCTGCCCACAGGCACTTCCCCGCGTAGAGAAAAATCTACTTCGCATATGCTTCTGTCGATTCAAAAGTCATCGAACCTAAGGGCACGAGCATGTGAACGTACCAAACAGCCCTGTGGCATCGCACTTCACCAGCCTTCCCACAAGCAATTCCACACTTGGCCACATCGACAAACTTCTACCCGAAATGTGTGTGTGAGTCAGTTTACAAGTGATTGAACGAGGGGGCACGGCACGTGAATGTACCAAAAAGCCCCGTGGCATCGCATTTCACCAGCCTTCCCACAAGCACCTCCCGCGTATAGAAGAATCTGGACTGTTCCCTAGAATATGTGTGTGAGTCAATTCAAGGTTGACGTACCAAAGAGCCCTGTGGCATCGCATTTCACCAGCCTTCCCACAAGCACCTCCCGCGTATAGAAGAATCTGGACTGTTCCCTAGAATATGTGTGTGAGTCAATTCAAAGCTGACGTACCAAAGAGCCCTGTGGCATCGCATTTCACCAGCCTTCCCACAAGCACCTCCCGCGTATAGAAGAATCTGGACTGTTCCCTAGAACATGTGTGTGAGTCAATTCAAGGTTGACGTACCAAAGAGCCCTGTGGCATCGCATTTCACCAGCCTTCCCACAAGCACCAACCGCGTATAGAAGAATCTGGACTGTTCCCTAGAATATGTGTGTGAGTCAATTCAAAGCTGACGTACCAAAGAGCCCTGTGGCATCGCATTTCACCAGCCTTCCCACAAGCACCTCCCGCGTATAGAAGAATCTGGACTGTTCCCTAGAACATGTGTGTGAGTCAATTCAAGGTTGACGTACCAAAGAGCCCTGTGGCATCGCATTTCACCAGCCTTCCCACAAGCACCAACCGCGTATAGAAGAATCTGGACTGTTCCCTAGAATATGTGTGTGAGTCAATTCAAAGCTGACGTACCAAAGAGCCCTGTGGCATCGCATTTCACCAGCCTTCCCACCAGCACCTCCCCGGCAAATGGTGAGAAGACGACCAGTCGAAAGCGAACCTGATGGCCGCGCGTTGAGAAAGGAAGAGGGAAAGGGTTGGATGGATAGAAGTTCGGGAGAAGGGAGGGCATCAGAGGGCGAGAAAGGAGACAAGTCAGTAGCCTACCAACCCGATGGATGGCCTTTGGGACGCCTTTTGAGGCGCCTCAAAAGCGGGCAACAGAAGGCAAGAAAGGCAACAGGTATGTAGCCACCCTGAAGGGTGCTCGTTGGGAAAGGAAGGAAAATGGGGAGTGAGAGGGAGGGAGAAGGGAGAGAGGAAGCGATGGATGGATGGATGGATGGATAGAGGGAAGAAGGGAGGGCGAGTGAGAGTAAGAAGGAAACAAGTCGGTAGCCAACGTGACGGGGAAATGGGAGTGAGAGGGAAAGGAGGGAGGAGGAAGAGGAGGTGGATAGCTGGGGGAAAGAAGGGAGCGCACGTGAGGGTGCGATGACGACAAGAGGAAAGAGAAACTGATGGGCGTGTAGGTGAAGGAAGGAAGGAAGGGGCAAGATGAGTGAGGAGGGCGGGTGGAGGGAGAGATAGGTGGATGGATGGAAGATTGCAGGAGTGAGGAAAGAAGAGCACAAGACGAGACGGAAACTGACATGTAAGAAACAAAACGGAACGGGCAACGAGAGAGTGGTAAAGAGGGGAGAGCGGGTAAGGGAGCTAAGCTGTTGCGTGTGTGGCAAGGAAGGAAGGGGTGAGGATTCAGGCAGCGAAAAGGGGGGGGTTGAGCAAGAGGGGAGGAAGTGAGGGTGGAGCGGAATAGAGAGCGCATGAAAAAGAAGTGAAAAAGAGGTGGAAGGGAGGTGGAAGGGAGGTGAAAGAAAAGGAGATGAAAGGAGGTGGACGGGAGCGGGAGGTGGGAGAGAGGTAGAATGTCGGATGGAATGGAGGTAGAATAGAGGTGTGAGTGAGGCACAGGTCTCACAGTGAAGTGAGCTGAGGATTGGGGTCCGAGGGGACAGGTAGATAAATGAACCGCCTCTCTCTTTTTGTTGAGGCTGATTTTGAGAATTCTCAAAATCAACCACAACAAAAACAGGTCTCACAGTGGAGGGAGGATTGGGGTCCGTCCGAGGGGTAAATAAATGAACCGCCCCTTTCAAGGTGACATTTGAGTCGGTTCAGAAGGAACAGAGAGAGATCTCACTCACAGTGAAATGAGGGCCAGGGTCGGAAGGGAAAATGAATCCCCCCTCCACTGACTGCAGGTCGTACAGCGAGATGCAGAGACCCACGTTGCGCAAGACCTGATGTGGTGTGGAACGGGGGGATTGGCAAAGAAAAGCGAGACGGGGGGATCACAGGGGGTAGATGAATCCTCCCCCCACTAATTGCAGGTCGTGCAGCCCTGATGAATGTAGAGACCCACGTTTTGCAGCACCTGATGGGGGACAGTTGCATATTTCAGTGGGGAAACACAGGGGGGTTTGAATCGAAGGGGGTAAGATGAACCCCCCTTGCACTGACTGCAGGTCGTGCAGCGAGATGTGGAGACCCACGTTTTGCAGCACCTGATGGGGGACTCGGTTGGGGGGTTACAAAAGAGAAGGAAGTGATTCACAAAGTAAGGGATATAAATCTCAAGAGGTTGACAAACCCCCCTTGCACTGACTGCAGGTCGCGCAACAAGATGCATAGACCCACCCACGTTGCACAACACCTGGTGGTCTGGGGGAACATTGATGGATAAAGAGAGGGTTTGAGGGAAGAGGGCCACAGGGGCCCACTCTGCACAGCTTTTGAGGCGCCTCAAAAGTCACCCACTCCACTCTGCACAGCTTTTGAGGCGCCTCAAAAGTCACCCACTCCACTCTGCACAGCTTTTGAGGCGCCTCAAAAGGCGTTTGAGGGAAGAGGGCCACAGGGGCCCACTCTGCACAGCACCTGATTTGTGGATCGGTCAGTCAGACACGGATGGAAAGGAAAGGGGGGATTGGCAAAGAAAGGGGTGGGGTGGGGTTCAGAGGGTATGCATGAGAAGGGCTCCAACCTTCCGTAGATCTTATGTCGTGCTGCGAGTCTCAGTATCCCGCATGAGAAGTGCGAGGTAGGAACCAGTAGATAGGACCCGAGCTACGTAGATACTGAGATACTGAGACCCGCGCTACGTAGCACCTGGTGGCGTGGCGGGTGGCACTTTACTGGTTCGGACGGCGTGTACATAGGAAGGGAAGGGAGCCAAGGCGAGGTGAACATGGGAAGGGAGCCAAGGCGAGGTGAAGGAAAGAACCAGGATCGGAAGGGTAAATCGATATCGTGGCCGATGGCTCGCCTTGGCTCCCTTGGCAGTTTGAGGTCAAATGCCTAATCCCATACCTATACCTTATCGAAATACTTGGCTTTAATCTCCGAGCTGACGGCCGTCAAATGCGGGCGGTGCAGGTCGTGAGGCGCGACGCGAATGTCATCCTCCATCTCCGTTAGTACGAACATCGTGGCGTCTTATAACAAATCTCGCTACAGTCAGCTTCAAAAAGTGTGTTTCACGTATGTCATCTCACTTTCACTGAAACGACCATCGTAGAGCTCTATATCGGATCCGATAGAGCGGGGTTCGGGCGTAGGGGCAGCTAGCGTCGGTGAGAGTAGAGCGGCGGATGAGTGAAAGCAGGGGAACGATGAGTGAAAGTACGGGAACGGCCCCCTGGTTTCACTCGTGTAGGACAGAGGATGTGTGGGAGAACAACGGATGTGGCGGCTTGAGATGGGTTTTAGCGTGATGCCTACGGTGGCGATGCGTGTGCGGCTCGGCCTAAGGTCGCGGCGCGCCGAGTGCCAAGCGCGAAAGAGGGGAGTGGGGGGATGCCGCATACGCGATGCGCGAGCATACGCATCCGCGGCTTCCTGTCCCTCCGTTGACGTAAACAAGAAGAAAGGAACGGAAACGCACGTCAAATGTCTGTAAATCACGGTTTCGATAGCGAGGTAAAAGGGGAAAACGGTGAGTGGGAAGTTAGATCGCGTCGCGGGTGTATGACGAGAGTGGGAGGTGTTCTCAGGGTTTAGAGCAAGGAACCCTTGCTCCGCTAATACGTGCCCTCATAATAGCACGATGTTGTTCACAGTGATGAAGATTCCATTCCCACTTCAATATATTCGCTCTCAACCATGTGGAAGTCTATTACAAAGCATCTTCTCACCATTTACATACTAGTGCACGGTTATACTGTTTCACACAAATTATTACAGTAGCTCGCATATGCGGGCTCATTAGTTCCCCCACAATTGCGCATCTTGTTGCAGGAAGGTTCCATACAAGATCCCAAACTTCATTTGAAATGATAAAACACACATTTACAATTGCACGTCGGTGGTTCGATGTGCTGTTACAAAACGAGTAACACCATACCAGTCTTTCGCTACTTGTACATCACAATACAACAACTTGCCGTCGGGCGATCTCTGATTGGCCAACACATCGGCAATAATCTCCGCTTGACCCCACCCATGGGTCTGGCAACAGGCACAGTAGAATCAGAGAGATACAATGCAGCAGCAGCACACAAATTAGGTCAGGACTCAAGGGAGAGAGAGAGAGGAAAACAAGAAAAGTTACAAAAGAAGTAGAGCAGATAATGCAGAGAGAAGGCTCGGGCTCATTGAGTGAAAGAGGGACTTACCTCAAGTGCAAGGAAACCAAAGGGTCGAAGGAAGGTGGAGGCATTCTGACAGATGTGGCGCAGGCATGCCGTGCCATCCGCATTGGTATCGCCATTCGCATGATTGATTGTACCATCAAGTGCAGCAGAAAGGGTACCATCAGCATCACCAGCAGCAACACCGGCAGCATCACTGGTAGCACCACCAGCAGCTGTAGTAGCAGCATCAGCAGCAGCGGATCTGTACCCATCCTCCTTAAAAGCATCTCCGTCAAGGGCCAAGGAGGGTTCATGCAGCCGCACCTCAGGTTGCAGCGATGGCAGCAGGTGGCATGGGATGTAGGGAGGGTTGCTCACTATGCCATGCAGCCGACCATGCATGGCCATTTCATGAAGGGGCGCGAACCAATCACCACGCGCCACGTGTATGTGCTCCTGTGGCATGGAAAGAAAATGAGGTGAGGAGAGCTCTGTTAGCAGGGATGGCAGCAGGCGGCATGGGATGTAGGGGGGATTGCTCACGATGACATGCAACCGACCGTGCATGCCCATCTCATGCAGAGGTGCGAACCAATCACCACGTGCCACGTGTATGTGTTCCTGGTGCAATGGAAAGGGAGGGAGGCGAGGGGAACTTCGTTAGCAGGGATGACAGCAGGTGGCATGGGATGTACGGGGGGGGTGCTCACTGTGCCATGCAACCGACCATGCATGCCCATGCTGTGCACAAGGGGCGAACAATTCAGCACGTGCCACATGTATGTGCTCCTGATGAAACAGGAGGGGGGAAGGATGAGAGGGGAACTTTGTTAGCAGCGATGGCAGCAGATGGCAGAGGACGGGATTCCAGGGGGATTGCTCGAGCCCACCATGCTGTTCAACCGACCGACCTTACATGCCCATGCTGTGGCAAGAACCAATCACCACGTGCCACGTGTACGTATCCTGAATGAAATGGGACGGGAAGGATGAGAAAGACTTCGGAAAAAGGGATGGCAGCAGATGGTACGGGATGCCTGCTGATGGTATGGGATGGCAGCAGATGGTACGGGATGGCTGCTGATGGTATGGGATGGCTGCTGATGGTATGGGATGGCTGCTGATGGTATGGGATGGCAGCAGATGGTACGGGATGGCTGCTGATGGTATGGGATGGCTGCTGATGGTATGGGATGGCTGCTGATGGTATGGGATGGCTGCTGATGGTATGGGATGGCTGCTGATGGTATGGGATGGCTGCTGATGGTATGGGATGGCTGCTGATGGTATGGGATGGCTGCTGATGGTATGGGATGGCAGCAGATGGTACGGGATGGCTGCTGATGGTATGGGATGGCTGCTGATGGTATGGGATGGCTGCTGATGGTATGGGATGGCTGCTGATGGTATGGGATGGCTGCTGATGGTATGGGATGGCTGCTGATGGTATGGGATGGCTGCTGATGGTATGGGATGTCTGCTGATGGTATGGGATGGCTGCTGATGGTATGGGATGTCTGCTGATGGTATGGGATGGCTGCTGATGGTATGGGATGGCTGCTGATGGTATGGAATGGCTGCTGATGGTATGGGATGGCTGCTGATGGTATGGGATGGCTGCTGATGGTATGGGATGGCTGCTGATGGTATGGGATGGCTGCTGATGGTATGGGATGTCTGCTGATGGTATGGGATGGCTGCTGATGGTATGGGATGTCTGCTGATGGTATGGGATGGCTGCTGATGGTATGGGATGGCTGCTGATGGTATGGGATGGCTGCTGATGGTATGGGATGTCTGCTGATGGTGAGTTCCGCCTGTGCTGGATAGCAAGAAGCAAGGGCGGTCAGATAGCACCAATAAGCACACAACACGTGTATTGGAGAGAGAGAGAAAAGCAACCAGTGCTGCCACCTTGGCATCCACTTGGAACGGGGAGGGGTGGGATGGGATGGGATGGGATGGGATGGGATGGGATGGGATGGGATGGGATGGGATGGGATGGGATGGGATGGGATGGGATGGGATGGGATGGGATGGGATGGGATGGGATGGGATGGGATAGGATGGGATGGGATGGGATGGGATGGGATGGGATGGGTTGGGTTGGGTTGGAATCGGATGGGATGAGTTGGAATGCGAGCAGTGATTTATTTAGGATTTTAACCTACAGCCTGTATCTCGCCCAATTCATTGCCGCTACCTACCTCCCACGCAACTGCACTAGCATTCAGGGTTGAAGGTGAAACGTTTCCAGGTTTAGGGCTTTAGTAGCATTCTCACCTGCAGCCCATATCTCGCCGCATTCAATGCCGCCACCTCACATGCCACTGCACTCGCATCCACCGCCACCACCACCACCTCCTCTCCCAGCCCTCCTCCCTCTCCGATCCCCCCACCCTCTCCATCCCCTCTTCTCTCTCCATCCCCGCTCCTCTCTCCTCTGCCCTTGCTGTGTTGCTGTTTCACGCCGTCCCAGCCCCTCTTCTCCCTCCTCTTCAGTAATTCCCGAGCCAAAGCCACAGCAATGGCCCCACTCCCAGTTCCCAAGTCCGCCCAAATCTCCTTCCCCGCCAAACCCTCCCTCTCCCCCAAACCCTCCCTCTCCCTCCCCCCTCTCTCCATCTCCTCAGCCTTCTCCATCCCCGCTACAGCAAGATCCACTAAGAGCTCAGTCTCTGGCCTCGGTATAAGCACGCCAGGCTGGACAGCAAGCAGCAGGTCGCGCCAGTGCGCCCCCCCCACCAGGTACTGCGAGGGCACGCGGAGGGACAGGCGCGCGCGCCAGAGCAGGCGGAGAGAGGGGAAGGGCAGGCGGAGGGCTATGAGGGGAGTGGCGGAAGAAGAGTGGCTGCTGGTGTTGACGGGAGTGTTGGTGGTTCCGGGGAAAGTGGATTGGCTGTTGCTTTTACTGCCTCTTCCCCCGTGCACGCCGTTTCCCATCACCCGTACCTCTCTCCAATTCAACCGCTTCAAACGCCTCAACCACTCCTTTTCAACGAGCACATCCCCCTCCCAACTATGAATCTCCTCCCCGCCAATTCCGCCCTCCACCCATCCAGCTGTTGCATCTTCTAGCATCCATTCTAACTCTCTCCTAAGCTCGTTCATCGAAGGTCCACCGTCGGATTGCTCCAGCCTGTCGCCGATCTCACCGTCGATCCGCCGCTGCTGCTCCGCCTGCCACGTCAGCACCTCGTCCAGCGGCACGAGCGCTGCTGGCTCGTGCTCGCAGAGCGGGCGGCGGTCATTGTCGTATATGGCCGCCCAACGGGACGGATCAGATTCGCATTGAGAGGGATCATTGGATTCGAGACATACTGGATCGGGTTCTGATTCTGACAGATATGGACCGTGAAAGTGGGATGCTGAAAGCTTCTGATTCCTAGAGGGTGGTACAGCTTCTGAAAGCTTCTGAAATGACAGCTTCGGCTGGGGAGAAGCCTCGTACGGACGTGAGATGGAGATTCCTAGAGAGTGTGAGCTTAACGGGGTCTCTCTGAAACGGTTTACGCGACGAGGTAGAAAGGAGTGGTTGAGGAAGGCTAGTGGAAGCTGGAGGGTGGGACGTCTGATTGCCATTCGAAGCTGCATCATAGCGCGAGAGCCAGTTGACGGATTCAAGCGAATAGCTGACGGAGTTAAGTGATCGAAGACGGTGTTAGTAGACTAATCGACGGTGTTAGTATAGTAATCGACGGTGTTAGTGGAGAGCCATGCTCCCCGACCCCTACGCAGTCCCATCATGATCAGCCCCCTCCCCTTCCCCCAACGCCTGACCCCATGCTTGCGAACGGTCCATCTGGAGAGCGCGTGGGTGCGGCAAGGGCAGATCCTCCCATGGGTGCTCCCGTCGTTGCCTTTCACCCCACCTCGCCCCTTTCCTTTCCCCCAAGAGCAGCACACTCCCGTCCCCACCGTCAGGGGCTCCGTCTAGCTTCAAGGGGAGCAGTCAGGGCCCTGGCTTTCCTAGCGGAGCTATGCTCCTCGATGCCTAGCACCATCCAGTCAGCTCCTACCGTAATTATACGGGTAATGGACCCCCCAAAATTATAGACCCCCGGGTCGTTAAATGTGGGGGGTTCAAATGCTATATGCACTTTCGTTATAGACCCCCCTTGACTGTAGACAGTACAATTTTGGGTGAAATGGTAGCGAGACAGATTTGAGCGTAGCGCCAAATTTGATCTGACAGGGGCGAATTGACCCTGTGCCTCCCTCGCATCAGCGCGCGTCAACAATCACAGTCACGCGACTTCGGAAATGGTGCTGAAACACTGTATTTGATATCCATTAAACATAAAAATTGCACATAGGATTAGACCCGGGGTCTATTAAACTTACACCCAGTTAATAAACCCACCCCTCTTTTTTTCCGGGATAGGATTAGACCCCCGGGTTTATTACCCGTCTAAATACTGTACCAACCTGTTAAGAAGTGAAGCTAGGAAGAGATTAGTTTAGGACAAGGAGCCATAGTGCGAGTAGCGTGAGCGAGACGGCTTTGGCCAACAAAGAGGTGTTGCATTAGGAAGTCACGAGGGTTATACAAGGAAGAACTGAGGGGTGCACCACCTAACAAGATTGAAACAACACTACGCCTATATCTATATATATATATATAAACGTAACTTTAACACACCCCCTTAACCTGCTTGCAGTAGGAGCTAGTGCAGGTACAGTTGGCGCAGCAGAAGAGGGCAGAGAGAGGCAAGCAAGGAGGAGGAGGCGAAGGAGAGAGGAGAGGAGAGGAGAGGAGAGGAGAGGAAGTCGGGGGGCGGGCATGAGCGTGACAGCTCATGGCTACCCCTTCCCCCCTCCCCCCTACGGTTAACAACCCCCGTGGAGGTGGGGGGTGGGCATGAGCATGACAGCTCATGGCGATCCCCCCCCGGTTAAGAACCTCGAAGTCTCCATCCCCTATACAACCACCCCCTTAACCCCACTCCTCTTTTCAGCCGCCCCCTTTAACCTCACACCCTCCCGCCACACTCTCACCCTCCCTCCCCCCCCAACATGGCACGCAAAGCAGGTGCAGGTGCAGCGGCAAGGAGGAAAAGGGGCGGGCGGGGGTCAAGGGGCCGCTTGCGACCGTCGGCGCTGGCGCTGGCGCAGGCGACCGTCGCGAGCGCTGGCGCACGTCGCAGGCGCAGGCGACCGTCGCTGGCGCAGGCGACCGTCGCTAGCGCTGGCGTACGTCGCTGGCGCTGGCGACCGTCGCTAGCGCTGGCGACCGTCGCTAGCGCTGCGCTGGTGCTCGCGACCATCGCTAGCGCATGTTGCTGGTACTGGCGCTAGCGACCGCGACGAAAATCGCGAAGGGGCGGGGCGACAGGGCGCGCGGGTTCAGTATAAGCAGCAGAAACAGTGCCATTAAAGGATTTCGCGCCAGCAACTGGATAGGCTGCGGCAGATAGCGGATCGGGTGGGCCCATAAAAAATAGGTCCTATGAAGGACCAGACTCTGATAACATGTTAAGAAGTAAAGTTAGGAAGAGAATATTTTAGGACAAGGAACCATAGTGCGAGTAGCGTGAGCGAGAGGGTTTTGGCCAACAAAGAGGTGTTGCATTAGAAAGTTATGAGGGTTATACAAGGAAGAACTGAGGGGTGCATCACCTAATAGGATTGTAACAACACTACACCCATACAGCGAGAATGGCATATATATAATATGTAACTTTAACACAACCCACTTTAAAGGTCTTCCCCCCACCCGAGCTACACACATTTCAGAAGTCCAAACCCTAGCCCGGCCACATCCCCCTCCATCCCTGCATCGCCCCACACCCTACGCACACCCAAATTACCCAAGTCGTCGCATAGCCCAAACCCTTTTACCCAGCGGGCTGCCCTCTTCACAATCCCTCCCAAGTGGCCAAGACCCACCCCCAAGGGCGCCTGCCCCTAGCTCAAAGGGGCAATGACACCCTGGTCGAGGGGTCCACAGGAGGGGCCACCAGTGGGAGGGTCTCTCTGAGGATCTAGGAATCGGTTCTGAAATTATAATATGATTACCTGGGTACAAGACGAGGCTCTATATAGGCTCGACACAAAGGCAGTAACCCGGGTGTTACTAGAAGGTTCCGCGGGTCGCGAAGCATCCCGAACGGGTCATTCCTGAATTCGGCAGAATGCAACTCGGTGGCAACCGAAAAGCCTAGAATTCGGTGCACGCAACCTAGAACGGTGCTATAACTATAATGTAATATAATAAGCAACGTTTCAAGGAAAACGAGCAAAAGCATGCATAAGAAAATGAAGCTAAGCTAGATAATGCATAATGAAGCAGAATCAAGCAAGTAAAGTCCAGCAAAGCCGTCGTACTCTCACACGTCCCCCCCTCAAAGCTGGGTGGCGTGAGATACGCCCTGCTTGTCAAGATAATCCCTGAGAGCACGGCGTGCGTTGCCCATATCATCTTCTGCAACCCAACTATCCTCCGATGGGTCATATCCCTTCCAGCGTATCAGGAACTCGAGTGTGTTGCCGCGCTTGCGTCGATGAGTGAGCACTCGTTCCACCTCGTACTCTGGTTCATCCTGTACGAGAACAGGTGGTGGTGGCGGTAAGTGTCGTCCCTGGAACTGTTATTTGGGGTCCTTGTAGGGCTTCAGTAGCTGAACATGGAAAACGTAGTGAAGCTTCCACGTAGATGGTAAGCGGAAGCGAAATGTTACTGGAGTCACCATCGCCTCAACGTGAAAGGGACCACAGAAGCGAGGCCGGAGCTTGGACAGAAGGTGAGACAAGTCCAAGTTGAGTGTGTCAAGAAGCACCTAATCTCCAACTGCTACTTGTCAGCAGGAGTTGTGTTGGCCC